CTATTAATTATATTCGAACAAGGTAGGTAACTCTCGTTGTGTTCTGCCTCTTTCTATTTCTATACTATATATATAGTATTAATATAGGGTCTTTGTCTTGAAAATGACCTTATAGAACATAGTAAATCATATGATCCAAACTTGATTTTCAAGGCAAAAGACCCCATATATGCTTATTACAATTTAAGGATACTCATTTGTTGCTTATATTCCTATTTATTTCAAAGAATAGTGTTATATATTTAGTATCAAAAACTTGAATTCCTATATCCTATATCAATGAATATTTAATTCTCCTATTTATAAAACAGAAAAAAAATCTCTGAAGTGGAAAAAAAACTTTTTATCAAATTACTACCATTTTAGAAACTCGTGAAGGCTTTTTTAGCTTTTTTTGTTTTTATGGTTGATCTTTGACATTTAGTTGAACTGTTCAAATTAGCGCAGCTATTACATTTTGGTTTCGTGCCCTTTGTTGTAGACTAATTGTCATCGAAGCTACCACAAAGGTAAAAAACATCAGAATAAATTGATGCAGAATAATATGGTTTTTTGATTGGAGAGTCACATGTCCAAGAGTCATTAATGAAAATGTATATAAAGTTTCTTAGATAGGGTCATTAACTGCATTTTTAGATCCCATAAGATAAGTATTATTAATATCATTAATTTCATTTTCTTGATTGCCTTCTTTACTTCTCACACTATTGTTACTGTCATCACTTGTTTCATTTTGTATATTGTTGTCACTTTCATCATCTTCAACGTTAATAATCTCATATTCTTGGTTAGAATTGCTAGAACTAGCGATCGAATTATTATCGTAAACATCGTCACTATGTTCAAGGATTTCTCTTGGTTCATTATAAGGTTCAGTCGAAGTAGCGAATGATAACTCGCAAGTGTTGTGAAATGCAGTTCCGCAGGTGTATAAAATGGTATCTAGAAATCAGATAAGTATTTGACGGTCCTTTTTTGATAATTTCTTTGCACTAAACAATAGTCTTGGTTTGTTGCATTCTATACAACAAACAGTAATTCTGACATTTTTAGCACACAGTGCAGAGGAACAGAAAGGCATCGTGTGGATTGCTTTTCCTTTTTTACTTCTCTTTGTTTGAAAATATTTTGTTCTAGATATTCTTTTTTCATGCAAAGGTCTGTACTTTTCTGTTGTTTGGGTTCCGTAAAGTTCTTCAAAAGATTTATAATGGAATCCTCTCCCGGGATTGGATCAGAAAGTTGATAAAGTTGGGTAAATATTTCACAGGGGCATCAGGGTGGTAAGCAAATTGAACAGATATCTTGGCCACACTTTTTTATTGTAAAAAAATAATGTTTTACTGTGTAGCAGTGGTCAAAAAATCCTTTAAATCATGGCTTTTCAAAAAATAATTATTTTTAATTTATATTTTTATTTAATTATATGACAGTAAATTATAAATGTAATGAATATCACCATTGGACACTACTTATCATATTCAAAGTCTTATTCAAGAATTATTTTTTAAACTGAATGATACCTGTGAAGGACTAGGCTTTATATAGTCAAATCTCCATAATTACACTCTACCTACAATATAAATTCTTCCTAAGTGGACGGCATGGTCCCAAGTATATAGAGGCATAAAAAAAATATCCTCTATAAATGCATACTCTCCCTAAGTAAACATTTTTAAAATTTATCCTATAATCTCGAGGGGGGTAGGTGCAATTATAGAGGTTTGATTGTATTTGAAGGGTTTAAATCACGAGAAATTTATTTTTTTGAGAAATACAGTAAGTAGTAACCAGCAGTATATAATAGGTGGGATATATCTAACTATAAATTTAAAAATGCTGTTATATCCAAAATTAACTGTATATTCTTACCTGTTGCTTTAGGTTTTTAATATTATGATCACTATTTGTTATAGTAGTATCGATCAAATGAATATTCTTCCAAAATTGTCTAATATCCTCATCTGTTGTAGCATCAAATGTTTTAAATGGTATACCTTTTAAGAACTGTCATTCAAATATTTTGCGGACAAGACTAATCGACTCCCAGATACTTTTTATGAGTTCATCTTTTAGGGTAGGATTTGATTCTGCAATTTCATGAATGTCTTTCATTGAGTTTGCTTTATTAATAAGATTTTCATATTTATTATACATTTTACTTCGCATTAACCCAATACATTGTAATCCAAGATTAAGCATCGATATTATATGTTCAACTGGATTCTTTCAGGAATGCAAGAGTAGTATTCTTGCTGCCAAGAGGTAATCAAGGTTAAATACAAAGAATAGACAAATGTAAGATAACTAAACTCATAGATACATTCACTCGTGGTTAGGACCACTATCTGTATAAAGACATAGATGGAATTGAGTGTTGTGTATATTACAAGAATGTTATTAAGTTCTGTCATATGACGTAAAGGAGTGGAGGGCTGAAAAATTGGATCCTTTAGTCTAATGTATACTTCTCCCGCATAAAAGTCACCACTAATCATTTCAGGAATATTACAAATCATTGTCATGCTTGGCACTATTCTTGTCTTTGCAAAGTCATGATTATTTACTGCAAACATTGTATTCTTTCTTACTATCACTCATTTTCCTCTCTCAACTGCTACTATAGGATGGCTGGGTTCTCCAATTTTGCATTAGTGCTTATCGTTAAGGAATATAAGTGTTGTGATGTTATGAAACTTGATGGCGAACTCTTTTTCATACCAAAAGATTGCTAAAGCACAATGAGAAACTGGATGATTAGCCCGTAATTGCTGAGATTGCACTATGAATTTTAAAGCTAAATGGCCTATATACTGTAAGCTGGTTAAATATGTTAGATTTTTTGGCCAGAATTGTAATTTGGACATATGGATAAAAGTTGCACAACAAAAAATATCAATAACTCATAATTTTACTAATATAAGTTCTATACAGAAACTTGATTATCTTAATGCACAATAACTATATAGTTACTATTAAATTAAATAGTAATTACATAGTTACTATATAGTTATGATATAGTTACTGTGTATTATTTAGATTTCTATATATTTGATTTAATATATTAAACAAATATTTAATAGGTAAGTTTATATAGAGTTAACTCTAGATATAACGAATCTTCTATAACTGACTCAGAATTTTGAACATTTTATAGTAGTTCGGTATAAAAATGCTATAGGTTTTTAAAAAAATAGTAATTTTTTATAACAAACTTTTTTTTTCGAAATTTTCAGTTTGTTATAGAAAGAGTTAATTGTATATATTTGGATATCCTTTTTGTATAATTTTTATTAAATAGTATAAAGGTATAAACAAGTACAGACATGAAGTAGGCATACCAAAAAAAGTCATAGGTATCAAAAATTACAACACTAATCTAAGCCATTGAGCACTAGATATTAGTGTATTTGAAGAACATTCATTTCTGATTTGCTGAAGTAGGTTATTTATCAAAATTGCTGTGGCAAAGTATATGATCAGATTATATCGTCTTTTGTCAACTGCAGTTACTAGGTCTGCTGCTTTCCCAGTGAGAAAACGGGCTGCCACTTTCCAAAATTTGTTATATTTTTCTGGTCTTCCCTTGTTATGTTCCCAAAGATCAATCATAATATCAAGATCACAAAGCTCCAAAGCTAATTTTACGTGATCATTGACCTTTTTCTCATTTGCAGATTTAGCAGATGACATATCTCCCGTTAGCATGCGGTAAATTGTTCATAAGAGTGCCAGTTTAAATTTGGGCAACAACAAATCGCAAGTGCATATGAAATTTGCCTTTATAATGCATGAATGGTATAGAGGTGCTTCTTTCTGTAACTCTCTTGTAATGCATGTAGTTTCCTAAACCACTTTGGACTTAGTAGCATTTTCTTCAATTTTTCAAATTGATATAACATTATAAGCATTATTTTCAGAGCTATAATGGTATTCTCCAATTTTAAAAGTAAATGCCTGTGAAAGGCCTTGAATGAAACGTAGGCATTGCCTTGAAAAAAAAAAAAATTTAATTGATATATTTTTTAAGTATTATTTAATA